CCCCAAAACCCCAAAACCCCGAGTTATAAGATAGACTATAATTTTGCAATATAAAATATTCTAATACACTTACTTAATATATTTATGCTTAAATATTGAATAAAGCGTGAAATAATTTCTTTAAATTATGGTATTTATCGCTGAATATCTTGATTTCCTGGATAAATTGAAGAAAGAAATATTATCTCAATAAGAGGTATTAATATCAAAATTACTGTCTTTCTTAAAGGTAATTTTTCTATCTTTTTTAAATTTAGAAAAAATCTGCCTTTGAGGGGATTAATCGGAATCTTATGCTAATCCAATATCTGACCACTATTACTCTTGGTCAATTTTAATATTCTTGACTATTCGGCCTTTGTAAGACTTAAGTATTTTTCCCTTTCTAGGTTTTAATTTCTTCTCTAACTATGATATATTGCTTAAATCTTAAGTCATTTTATAATTTGAGTCCTAATTCTTTTGACTATAGAATGTTTAGTACATGTTATATTTTGATGAGGAAATCTTTTTTTGCTTTGGTATATCTGAGACTTTTATTGAAAAAATCGATGCCTTTATGGACTCATCATTATTTAACGATCTCATTGTACTGTCATTTTCTAGAATTTCTTACTCTCTATTCTGTTTGTTACTGTTGTTAATTATTTGCTTTCTAGTTGATCTTATGACTATCATCTATTGATTAATAATCTCTAATTCATCAGGAACCTTTGATTGTGATTCCTTATAACTAAGTTTATAGTTCCTATTATTGTGTAAATTGAGGAACGCAAATATCTTCAGCATCCTAATAGCTTTATTTATTAAGATATTAGTATTTCCAGATGCTATTAGAATGCAGTAAATCCAAAGAGATAAGAAATGTATTATAAAACAAATAATCATAGCAAATACTATATCCTTTATTAATGGTGATATTTCAGGCTGTAAGAAGAACATTGCTCCAAAAAATATCACTGCATTAGCTTTGATTTCTCGCATTTCAAGTAAATTAATCAAAGAATTTTTGTATGGTTTTATTCTTATTTACATTCTGGTTATGAAAGAAAACACTAGCAAAATTATCATTGCTTTGAATTAACTAATCTCAGTTTGTAGTACAACATTTACTAAAACTATGAAAACTTTTCTAAAAATATTTAAAAACTCCCAATAAAAGTTTTCTGTTCTTAAACCTCTATACAAAGGTCTATATTTTCTTGAAAATTCTTTTTACTCTAGTCGGCTTCTATTTAAATATAAATGAATAAATCCAATAATTGGAAGTCCAATCACCCAAATCAAAAGCATTGGTATTCCAATAAATAGGCAGAATGAGATATGATCATTTGTCCAACATTTTATATCTAAATCAGATTGTAACCAAAATTAACCTTAATCTATTTCTACACATAAAAATGTACCAACAGCATACCTTGTAAGTTGGGGATGGAAGAAATAAATAATAATGATAGTTTGGATAATTAGCCATCTTTTAAATTTTTCAGTATTCTATTAAGTTGCTATTTTTATGATTATTGAACCAAAAAAGAATAAAATGAAAGCTATTATAGGCAGAACTCCAATCACCAATGTCTTGAAGTAGATTATTGAATCAGCATCTTAAAAGGGAAAATTTTCTTAAAGAAAGCAATCGATAGATACTATATTTTCAGATGATGATCCAAGGTATATAATTGCTTGATAAAATGCACTCATTGAATCAGGCCAATTTAGTTATATTGAACTAGTTGTTGATAGTATTTATAGAAAATTAGTCATTATCTTTAAAATCACAGAGATTTCTTTTTCATCATTTTATCTTATATTAATAACTATTAGAACTCCCAAATATACTAGGATTCCAAAAGTAATTAAGAAAATTAAGAAACCATTACTGATATTGGTAGGACACCTCTCGCATTCATTATAGAAGTTTCTGTAATAAATATGATTATTTTTTCTCATACATCTATCACACAAATTTCCTCCATAGCCATCATTACATAAATCATGCACTCCAATAATTTCATTAAATTTGAAATCTCCACCTCTACAAGCATTTTGATTTAAACATTTTATAATATCTTATGACATGTTCGAAGATCGCCAATAGCCAGGATTAGTTAAAATTTTTGTTCCCCCTGGACAAACTGCATTAGGTGGACACTCCAAACATTTGATAGCTTCCATTTCAAGTGAATAAAATCCATTCTCACAAACAAGGCATCTGAAGTAAAAAATGATTTATTAATTTTAATTACTGGCTTTGATATTGATATTCACCTAGCTAGCACTTTCTAAAGTCAAAAAAGATTATTTCTTAATTTATTTGTAATTCAATAGAGAGATTGAATACTTCTTTGATTTTCTCTTCATTAATGTCCTGTGAATAGACTTTAAACCTAACATTTTTAGAGCCTGGTTCAGCAATAAAAACCAAGCCAGTAAAATTTACAGTCCCATTAACAACCATTTTTTATTTTTAACCTATTACTGCTGTTCTTTTAGTGTCTAACTCAACCAATCCAATCAAACTATACAATAAAGTGAAAAATATTTACCAATCTTAATTATTTGTAATAACTTAGTCATCAGGATCTACCAATTATGCTAAAATATATATTGAATTCATTTACCCACTTGCTATCTGCTATCTTTTGATTTCTTAAATTCTAATAGTAAAAGGATAACTTGATAATATTGGGCCGTAAAGAGCTTAGTTGCTAGTATACACATTACTTTCTAAATCATATGGTCTAAATTTATTATAGTTCAATACTCCTCCTTAAACACTAGCAAAATTACTAATAAAGATTGAATTTTAAACCGATCGCTAGCATGTCTTGTCTTAAGTGCACTAAAATGACAAAGCTCCTCCTTTTTAAGCCATATTGCTTATAAATGTCGAGTTTTTTATTGTTATATTACCTAGATTAACTAATAATGCTCCACCTTCATCAGTTGAGATTAAATTTTAAAATGTTGAATTTCTTATATAAGTAATTGAATCTCTTAAGATCATTGCTCTTTAGTTTTTTGTTACAGCTAATTAAATTTAACCTCTAAAAGAATTGCTTATTAATTAAAGTGATGACAATTATGCTTAGATCATGTTGGTATTAATATTTGTGAATATTGAATTCTATATTATTACCTTAGGAGATCTATAAATATTCAGAACAACATCCCCTTGATTTTTGTTATCAATGTATGCAAACTAGTTAATGTTGGTTTCACTTGCATCTATATTGAACACAGGATAATCTGATAAGAATTCTGAATTCATTATTACTGTTTCTGAAATTGTCAAATTAGAGTATGTCATTTGTACTACACTAATTTTAATATCCTCAAATATGATTCTTTTCATTGAAAGCACCGAATTTAAAATCATTAGGAATAAATTTTAATTTCTTTCAATATTATCTGATGAATAGGAGAAATTCTTAAACGAAGTATCTCTAATAATTATCTTGCTTTAAGTTGCTTATATAAAGTAGGAATCATTCGATTTTATGTAAACATTGAATATTTTTGAGTTAAAGATATTTAGCATACTTTAGTATTGACCAATAAAATTATGATGATCTGTAATTTCACTATTCTAATCTATCTGCAGTGACCCTTTTTAAAGATCGAATATGTTTCCTATTTTAGTATTAGTGCCATTATAAATTTTTGGGAATAAAGTTTGAATTTTTTTCGTAAATTACTAATCTATTCTCATCATTGCAAAGATTTCCTAGAATTTAATAGCTCTATTAAAAGCAATTAATGAATTTTATATTTTTGAGGGTTGATTAAAAGATTTAAACTGTGAGAATAAAGCAGATTCCACTCCATAATTATTGATTATCTTTGAGTTATTTATGTAATACGTTCCTTAATCAGAAATAAAACCAATTCCACCTCTAATTGCAAAGTTGTTTTGAAAGTTACAATTATCAAATTTAATACTACTTTCATACCATGCATAAAAAACTCCACCTTCATAAGCATAATTTCTATGAAAACTTGAGTTGCTAATAAAAGCAGTAGAAAATTAATAATCACATAAAATTACACTCCCTCTAGCGCTTGAATAATTCTCAGAAAAGGTAGAGTTCCTTACAATCAATTAACCATTAGACTGTATTCTAATCATAGCATCAATAATTACATTATTCTAATTAAATGTGGAATCTTCAATTATAACCACTAAAGGATTTTAAAAATCATAGGCGTCAATAGGAGCAATCAAAAGTTGAGCTCTTGTATTATTCTAAAATACAGTATTTCTGATTAGAAATTGGTTGTGGTCATTCTACTTAACTATTATTAAGTTGCCATTAGATTCAAAAGAATTGTTGATAAATTTTGAATCAATAATTTTTAGATAAGCTTTGTGTTCATTATGGTACGAATCAAAGAAGATCAAATCATTTTTCTTTGTAATTTTGTTATTCTGGATCGTTATATTCTAAAGAACAACTTCAATAGGGTCAGAATCTCTGATATCTATGAAATTGTAGCCTTTAAAAAGGAGTAAATTAAAATCTGAGTTTTCCAAAAGCAAATTTTTAATATATGTATTAGGAGAGTCTTTTTTAATATCTAATTAATCAAATCTAATCAAGTAACCTTTTTACTTAATGTAATCGGAGTAAGTAATATTTCTAAAAGTGATCTCCTCAAGACAAATGCTCTAAGTTCTAAAAAATCCAAAATATACACCACCAGAGCCCAATTCTATATCAAGAATTTAAATTATTTAAAAAACTTACATTCGTTTGAGAAGAAGCAATCTTTAATTATAACTTGTCTAATTGACTTATCAATCTGAATTGCATTATTTTAATGAATCTTGTTATCATGAAACCTCAAGTTATTATAAATTGAGATAGCTTCTATTGGAGCATTTGAATGCTTTACTAAGGATTAGGAGTTTTATTTTTCATCAACTTTAAGTATCGATTATGAATCAGATTATTATCTTACAAATTAATCCTTCAATATTTATGCCTTGGATAATTAATTTGGAAGGTTTGTCAAATAAAAATGGACTTCTGCCCTTGAAAATAGAATTTTTGTAGGTAAAATCTAAAATTTTGAGTAGAATAAAAAATACTTTATATGGTTAATTATCCTTCAATTGAGGCATTTACTCCATAAGTGTCTATTTTATGCATTACTGCTTTGTCAAAGTAGAAATTCTTCAGCGTAAGTGATTTCATAAAAGATCCAATAACAAAATAATCTCTGTGACTTATTGCGTTTACTACAGTTATATTTTCAATTATGTCTCTAATTTATCTATATTTATCTCCTCCTTGCTAGATTTATATCATTGTAAGTATTACTGTGTCCTCTTCATCCTTAGCATTCGTCGTGAAGTAATTATTAGAGAATTGTAAAATTCTATATCTTCCATCATCCTCTTTAAGAATACAATCTTCACTAGCATCTAAATAAATCAATATTTCATTAGGATCTGCAAATAGTGTATAGGTTTCGAAATGACTTTTATCTATCGTTATATTGTTGATAGTCTTTATATATATAAAGGGCTCATTAGTAATGAGATACTTTTCTCCTATTAAGGTCAAATTTATAATAGAAACGTCCCCATATGTAGTATAGTTTTGAGTTAAAGAACAATTAGTGTCAATCTTTACTGCCTGCTTCAAAAATTCTGTTCTTATAATTACATTTTCTAGCAATAAGTTTATAGGAGTCTTTGTCTATAATACACTCCCATAAAGATCAATAGTTGAATCCTATCAAATAAATATTAAAAAGATTTATATAATACCAACAGCCTCAGAAAATTGTTTTAAATATCATAGGACATTATTAACAAGGAATCTTCATTATATGCATTTTTTTCGTCTATGTAAAGTTTATCCAAGATTAAAATTACTTTTTATATCTAAATTTTATATGGTTAAATTTGACCTTATATGAAGAAATGTGGGTTTTTGAATAAAAGTTAGGTAGCTGAGCTCTGTTAAGGACAATAGACTGTTATATCAATCAAAGATATCACTTTTTGTTGAATCGAGTAATAGGAGATAAGTCTAATTTACCATTAAGTTAAAGTAGGTAGATTTAGGCATATTATACTATTCGAGGTTTTATATTTATAATAAAGATGTCTTTTAACCTAATTTTTCATGATTTAAATCATCGAATGTCCTAAAATAATTCATAACTAGGTCATTTTTTTACCTGATTGTTAAATCGACACTATCTATAATTTGTACTTAGTTCTAAATCTAGAATAATGCTAATGATCCACTCCTCACAAGAATCTCAAATTTAAACTATTATCTATTGCTACTTTCTTTGAGTTCATTATGGACAATATTATTTATTTCAATGAGAGGTTATTATAAGTCCTTGTATGGATGATGATGAGTCCCTAATTCTAATGAGCTAAGTGAATTCGAATCTACATAAAGCCTTAAATCTAAAACTAAGTTAGTTAAACTTTAACTACCTCTGCAGTAACTAAATATCTCATTATTGAGTTTTATTGAGACTTTATATTAGTCTGGTAGGCATATTTAAACACATTCCATCGAATTTATATTATTTAGCATACTAATGGGACATGCCAGGCATTAATTCTCTGTCAAACATAATTGACCAGGACACTGACTAGGGCATTCTATAGTGTTTATAAAATCCAATTACTTTTGCAAGTATTTCCTTCATTATATTGTCCCATTTTACAATGATAGCAAGTGTTCTTAAACTCATCAAAGATCATATATTTATTAGCACAATCTAGGCACTATTGTTAATTAATGCAAGATTTGCATATATCGTCACACTCTAAATTTTTTAAGGAGCTTTCAAATAAATTACTTGCACAACTTAGTGTATTTGTATCGAAATAAAATCCTTAGCTGCATTATTATAGTTAGAATGATTTCGTCCAAAATATCAAAAAACTGAAAGTTAAGAACAATTTATATTGAGTCATTAAAATACTTAATAAAATAGTTTAGATCAAATCCTTTAATATGAAGCTTAAGTGAAATACGCAGATTGCATATTTATAAATATAGGCTTAAATTTCTTTTGATATTAATTTTTAGCCAAATTAGCTTCTATTTTCCTCCTTGGGGTTTTGGGGTTTTGGGGTTTTGGGG